AAAGCCAGAGCGCCGAAAAGACGCGAAAAGCCCATTTTGGGCTGATTTTGGGAAGATCCAAATGAAACTTTTCGTGTCTTTTACATTTTATTCTCGCACGGAAAGATGTGCGTCTGTCAAACGTGGTTCGAGCTGCTTAGATTTTCATGCAAAAGCTCAATGCATCTTTTGACTGTCAGATCTATCAAAAGATCTTTCCAAAAAGACACGCCAAATGGGCCCTACATCTCTTCTATGTAGCTTGTAGCTTGTAGGTTCTTCATTAATTTAAACAAAAAAAAATAAGATTTGAGAGGGAGAGTGTGCTTTTCAATCTTTTTCTTTTCGAGGTCTAAAGATTATATGTCAATGTCTTGTTGAGAATTGAATTTGGGGTAGCTTGGACTACTTTGGATAAGTTGGAAACAACATCTATTTGGCACTCGTCTAACCATTGGAGTCGATTGTCAGGTGCTGGAGAAGAAGCTTGGAGTCCAAAGTTGGTTTTGGACTTCTAGAACAAGACAAGAGAAGTAGAGGGACCTGTTCTTATGCCATGGTTGTTGGGGTTTGTAACAGGTAAGCTGTCTTATTTTGAAAAGATATGGTTGTTTTATTTTGAAAATTTGAGAAGTAATAGAGGGTATATTTGATATTTTGCTTCTTTCCGTCAATATTTAATGAGAATAACAATTGTTAAAAAATTTAGGAGTAATTTAAGACAATATGTAAATAGTAAGGATAGAGTTAGTCAATTTCCTAAACCTTAGAGGTACTTTAAGAAATTTGCCCTTAAATAACCTATATGACAAAAGCGAAAACCTATGCTGCTGGAAAAACTGAATTAATAGACCAATATGAGACAGGAATTGAAACTGTAAGTTTGAATTCCAACAATGGCAAAATTTAAGGTTACGGATTTGTGGTTTTAGACCCTAAAAGCACAAGGTTAATTGGGGCTTAAAAGTGTTTTGACTTTATTGTTATGATTTCCAACAGCCGAAAGTTCAAAAGTAAAAGTTCATCTAAATGAAGCCAAAGTTACCCTTTTGGAATTAGTTAAGAAGCAATTTTTTAGCGTTTTTGTTTAACTTGTCTTAAACAATTAAACCAAAAGCGTGATAAGTAAAATTGGCTTGTCTCTTAAGCATGTCTGAATAAACCACTTGGAGGACTAGGCTGTGTTTGGTTTGAAGGAAAAGGTAGCCTTTCCTTTTCTTTACTTTTACCTTCAAACCAAAAACAACCTTAGGAATGCAACGTTAGGGGTGAAGCTTTATTATTTTCAAGAAACTTTTTAACAAAAAGAAACGAAGAATGAAGGCCAACCCAAACCGGGTCGGGTTAGAATTGACCTTAACCCGACGTAATTTGCCCTAATTGCAAAATGTGTATAAAGTTGGCATGAACTGATATCAATGTTGTTAGATTCGAACTAGACTAAAAGTCGGAATGCTTTACAGGTCAAGCCGTCAAGGTTTTTTCAATTAACCGAGCAAATGGCCCGCTCAGTTCATAAAATCCGTCACTTAACCATGACCCGAAATGGTCACCGTTCTCTATTTTCACGGTTCGATTGTCCTACCTGACCTACAGGAATTTTTTTTGGAAGTGAATGGCCCCACATAGTGTATGTATGTATGATGCACGTGGGGTCCATTCACATACAAAACCGAAGGGATGCCAACCGATCACCTAGACTACTACTCATCAGCAATGGTCGTGTAGGAAAAAAAAAGCATAGAAAAACTATCCAACAATTAATGTCCATAGCTTTATATTTGCCACATCATCCTTGATCAGGGGCGGATTCAAGATTTTTTGAAGGGGCCAAAAGTTAAACATGAATCAGGTTAAAATATTAAATATAAATGGGCATAAATATGGCAATAGGGTGGTGGGTTCACCATTTTGGGAAGGGTTTTGTAAACTTTAGATTCTACCCACTTCCCTAAACCTCCCAATTCGTACATGTTTCAAAATTTATAACAGATTAGATTTTGAGAATCCAACCCCTCCTCATATGTGAAAATACAAAACCCTCTCTTGGCCTTACCCTCCTTGCTTTCAAGGGTGTAGTGGGTTGAGTTTAGAACCCGTATCTAATTTCTTATTATTGTCTATCAAATATAAGTAATAAATAAGTAAAATAACATGATAAATAACAAAATTTCCAATTATTTTAAAAAGTACATAAACTATCAATTATCCTTCACACAAAATTTAAAATATTATTAAATTCAATATCTAACATATATATTTCATATGATTTCCAACAATATGCAGGTTTGGGAGGGTCAGTTTAGCATAATACTATATCGTACTCATATGGGTTGTAGAATCCCAAAATCCCCTACCCCAAAATCCATACTTTATGCAAAAAAACCTATCCCATCAGGTAGGGTAGACATTGTCATCCCTAGGTATAAATGGAGATTGTGGGGATTTTAAGGCATGGGGTTCATGGCTACGGGCTACCCTCTACCATTCCTCCTGCTTCTCATAGAGCGTGCATCACACCAACTTCATAGCACATCATAGATAGGGGTGCTCGGGTGCTCATAGTTTGGTTAACCGAACTGGGGTGCTATTTTTTGAAATCGAACTAGTACTATCGGTTTTTGCAATTCCCCGAACTCAAACCAAATCAGTACCACTAGTTAAATTGATTGATCGATTTCAGATTTTGATTGGTTTGATTCTTCAACTTTTTGTTTTTTTATTTTTATTTTTATAACATATATTATACATAATATATAAATATAATATTATAAATAATAAATTGTATATAATATATTATAAATATGTATATTATATTATGGATACTATAAATATATAATATATTTATTATATATAACAGTCGACTTTTTTCTAGGTTATCCAAAAACTGAATTGATATTTTAATTTTTCAAAAATATCAAATGATGGCACAATTAACCATATTTTTTTATTCTGTTTTTTCATTTAGGTTTGATTTTTTAGTTTTTTGGTTTTTTTATGAGCACCCTTAATCGCAATCGTGCATTTGGAATATTTGCCCATGAATAACAACATACAAGTAGAGGAGATGTTTCTAGGTGCAACTTGGGCGGGCCCAACAAGAAAATTTAACATGGGTTGGACTTAGATTTTCGGTCCTCAGGCTGGGAACAGGCCTAAGAAATTGGGTTTTTTTTATTTTTTGGGCCAGGCCTATCCCTTAGATAGTTCGAACCCGGCTCGAGCCCGACCAACCATAGACATATGTATATATTTGTTTATTTTGTATGTATATATATATATATATATATATATATATATATATATATATATATATATATATATATATATATATATATATTGCATACATATATTTATCTATGTATTTATGTATATATATATATATATTTTTTTTTCCATACATATATTTTACCTATTTTACATACATATTTTGCATACATATATAATATACATATTTGCATAAATATATATTTATGTATAATTTTAGAGTGGGTTCATTGACCAACCCGAGCCTGGCTGAGCCCAACCTGAATGCATAAAATTACAATGTGGGCCAGGCTTAGGTTGCGAAAAATCTGGCTTTACCTCAGGCTTGGGCCTTAAGCCCAAATTTTGGGGTTGGGTCCGGGTTGACCATAAACCCATCCTAATCTGCTTGACTTCATCCCTATGCACGGGTGAAAGTGCTCTGAACTTGGTGTGAGGTGCATTATGTGAGTAAATCCATCTCTCACAAAACATTTCAGCCATGCATTAAAAATCTCTCTCGTACATGTATTTTTTCATTGATGGGGAGATATTCCCCATGCACGGCTGTGATGTATGTGAGGAGTGGGGAGTGTTCTTTGGCTTCGCCCTTTAGTGGGACCAGCCATGTATGAGATGTGCAGTGTAAGATCACATTGGTAGAGGGTTGGAACGTGTTTCGTTGGCAGGTGATCCAGACTCTTCCCGAACAACTAACAATTTGTCTTAAGACCGGATCTACTCCTCGGTGCCTCACACCGACCTCATAGGCATATCCCACCGTACATTGGGAACATCTCCCATACTTATGTGTTATTATTTACGGGAGATATTCCCAATGCATGGTGAGATGTGCCTATGAGCGGCATTTGTGAGGCGCCCTGTGTGAGGAGCAGATCCCATCTCATTTGTCTTACACTTAGATCTGTTCAAGGGCCGGGTAGCTCGATGGCCCAGCCCAGACCATAGTCGGGCTTGGGCATGTAGTTAAACCCACGGGCCTGACCTTGGGCCCAAAACACCAAGCCCGATTGTGTTTCGGGCTGGACTCCAGATTTGTCAAAAATTCCTGACCCGACTAATTTATATAATATAAAATATATAATATTTATTATAATATATATTAATAATTTAATATATACATTTTTTGTTTTATAATTTCTCTCTCTATTCAGCGATAGCAGCAACAACAACCAACAAGTTGAGCTTTAGACTTTGGGCTCGGGCTCAGATCCAAGTTGTAGGCCTGATGGTTGGGCCAGGCTCGGGTTCGGGCCTTAAAAAAATCTGTTAATGAAAAGTGAAAGCCCGGCCCGGCCGGGCCATGAACAGGTCTACTTACACTGTTACACTCTTTCAATGCCGAGCAGAAAACAAATCTGAACACCGTCCGGGAAAAAAACTAAAAAGGTTAAAAAACATTTTCTGGTCCGAAGCCACTATTCATAGCGGTTATGCGCCCATGTGCGGTCTCCACAGATAAGAAAAAGGTTGTTTTCTCTTCTTAGTGGGGATTAATGATACGGTGGGTCCCACCTGTACAACAGGGCCCCACACTCTTTTATTATGGTGCCCCCATATCCATAAGCTCACCACTCCCCCAGACCCCACAACCCCCCATTTCCATGCTCTTCCACTACTTTATCCCAATAAAAAAATATTAAAAAAGGGAAAAAAAACGAGGTCTGCTTTGAAATTTCCTCAAATTAAAGGGCTTATTGCGAAACTCACTCAAACCAGCACGAGCAGCAAGAAACAACAGCAATAAAGCAGGCCACCTCACTCTATCTCCCCTCCCTCTCTTCTGCTTCACCCGTCTCTCTCTCTCTCGATTTGCTGGTTGTACTTAAATATTGTTTTCTAAGAAAAACTAATTCTTCTTCTTTTTGGGTTCTTCTCCTTTTCTCAAGATCTGCTACTTGGTCTTATTATCGTTCACGAGATCCACTTCTCTCCCTTCTCTTTTTTCTCACTCTTCCTCCTCACACAGTTTCACTGGATCTGCGCCTTTTTGTCTCTCCCGAGTCTATGCTTCAGACCATGGATCTGCATTGTCCTCTCCGAGCTAGGGTTTTATGACCACATGCTTTTTGTTGCCTTCGCCGGTGTTGGCGTCATGCAACCGTTCAGTTCAGGAGCGGAGCGGGATGGAGAATTCGGCCAATGCCATGGACTTCTCGGGAACCCCTTGGATGCTCGTCGTGGTTTCTCGTTTGTGGCGTTTCAGCTCTTGGAGTTCTTCTGAGAATGTTTTTTGTGAATTTGATTTTGGCAAGTGAAGATGCTGACTTTGATGGTGCTTCTTCTTCCGCTGTTGAATTTGGTTTTCCCCTGTTGCGGTACGGTTGTTTCCGTTCTTTGTATTTGCTAATTTTGGTGGTTATCTGTTGCTGTTGAGACTTGAATGTAGTCTGTCGTTGCTAGTTGCGTCTATGGGTTCGCCACAGTAGAGCAATTGGTACTTAGGGAAGTAGTTCTGTGTAGTTCTTGTAAAGTAGTTACTATCCATTTATCATGTGCTCTTTCTTTCCATGAAGAAGTTTTTTCTGGTGAGGGGAAGCACATTTAGAAAGATGGAGCATGGAGCTAGACAGCTAGTCAGTGCTTTTACTCAAAACGCAATGTAAGGTGAATTGTGTCCCGACTCCCGAACAACGATTTCTGTGGTTAAAGTAATGACAGTAACCAGTCCAAATTCCCTAGTACGCTTTAGTCGACCTTCTGAACATCAGCATTACTTTTAATTGAAGCTTTTCTACTAGGCGTAGCTCAATGGAGGACGTGCAATGGATAGGGAATTGAATCCAGTTAACAAGAAGAAAAGAAAATGAGTGTTTATTGTTTATTTGTGGAAATAAAGGAAATGTATTGCGTCCATAGTTTAACAACGGACATGACACTAAACAGGACGAAGTGGTGAAAGAGAATTCATGTAGCCGACCACGTATAGTTGGGACTTGGGGCAAGGCTTGGATGATGATGATGATGAAAGGAACGTATTCAGGATGCATTATTCTGTGCTTTTCTGTTTGTGTTTCTCCTAATTCCATTGTTCGAATGAAAATAAGTTGATGTGCCTTCTATCTGGATTAATGACTAGAGTTTAATATTACTTATAAAAAAATTAGCAGAGCTTAAAATTGGGTTGGCTTTTCATTTTTCATAGTCTGTTTTGACAAGTGCATTTTAATGATTTGTATAAATGCATAGATTTATTTATTTAGTCTCTCTATCCAAATTAAACGCTAAATGGTGTTGATTGACCTGTAAAAGGAAACGGGTCTCAGGAATATGGTTCAAATGCTGGCTGGTTGTCACTCATTTTTTTTTTCGCTGTAATTGATTAATAAGTACTATAGTTAATGCTGTAAATAGAATAAAAACTACAGAAACCACAAATTCTGGGTCTTTCCCTTTATACAGTAGCTAATAAAAATGGAAAATGAAGAAAAAAAGTGAAACATGAGGGAAGGGGGATAAGTGAAACAGATAGATAAACAGTTCTACTATGAAAAATATTTTATTCATTAGATGAACAATGGCCGCTCTTAGACTTGAACCCACATTCTCATGTCTGGAAACATGGAGCAAGAGCCAGTGATTGTAGCAAAAGCCAATGGACAGTGCAGGGTGATGGAACATTCAAAGAAGGAAAAATGGATTAGTAAGTTCATAATAGAGGTAGGGTTGCAATCTGTTGACTGGAGGAGAGTTGCAGATTACTAGATCTTGAATCTGAAGCTGAAGAGTGAGTTTATTGTAACTCCCTTTGATAAATGTAAAGCTCTAGTTGATTTTGGGGACAACAGAGTAGACTTCTTAGCAGTTAATTTTCAGACTGATCTAGGAACTATTACAATCTTCAGATGGAATCCTCTTTCTAATGCCAAAAACTTCTCTATTGAAGATGGGGTTCTAGTATGGATAATCGGATTGCCTTTCCATCTTTGGAAGCAAGAAGTAGCAGATGTCATTGCACTGATGTGTGGAAGGAGACTGGATGGTGCTTACTGGGGAGACCTCCATTCTGTGGCTATTCTCCTGAGCGGAGTGAGGCCTGAAGATATACCAAGAAAGGTAGAAATAAGAGTGGAGGGTGTTTTCGTTTCAATCTGGCTGGCTTCCTCCATTGAAGCAGGCTTTTGGAAGGAAGCTAGAATGGAGGGAGGTGAGGAGTTTGAGGAAGAAGCTGTACGTGGAAGAAGCAGATCGGAGGGTTCAAAAAAGACTGGAAGTTATACTAAAATGGGCCAACAGCTTCTGGGGAGCCAAAAAGACTTGGGGCATATGGAAAGTCAGAGGCTTAAAACACGAGAAACCTCTCTGATGCATAGCAAAACCTTTGCGTAGGTGGTTGGGAACACTGCCAAGGCAAACTTTAATGTTGAAGAGGAGAGTAAAGAGGTGACAAGTGTTAAAAAGCAAGTTGAAGTAAGAAACAGGATGGTTGAACCGGGAGCTGAGGTGGGTCGAGTTGGTGGGCTAAGTAGTATTGTGGGGTCGGTTAAGAGCACTGAACCCATGGACCCTGTTATTTCTCTTGGGCCAAGGGAGAGAGGAAATCTTAATCCTCTTGGGCCCAGTTTTAAGCCCATAGCTATTAAGGATAAGGTTAAGTCATGTGCTCACTTAAAATAGCACATGACTGGAGTTGGGGGGGTCCAGTCACATGCCCACTTAAAACAACACATGACTGGAGTTGGGGGGAGGATCTGTTGATAGACAATTCTAATCGTCTATCTTCTTCCTCCTCTAGTTCCTTAGCTCAAGTTCAGAAGCAGGGCAGAGTGTGCATTCTAGTAGCTCTTTTCAGTGGATCCCAACTAAGAATTTGATTCGGTTGTCGCCTGAGAGGCGGAATCCTAGATGCGTCAACCGCATTGTTTTAGAAAAGCTAGATTCTGCAGTTTGGCTTGGAGATGAAAGCAGCAGCAATGATGACTGAGTCAGATGGAGCCTCGAGTTTGGGTAGCCTCGATTTGCAAGCTAAACAAAATCTGATTGAAACAGGGAGCTTGAATACGGAGGCGTTGTACTTAGAAGAAGAAGGGGCTATTGCAGATTTTCCCAAGGAAGAACAAAGGGTAGGAGGTGCCCGTGTTTGCTGGACAGGTTCCACTATCCCATAACGAGGGAGCCAACAAAAAGTCTCAGGGCGTACAGGACTTAAATGTAAGAGAACAGTTCTCTCTTGTGAGCATGGATAAGGGTGAACTAGGAAGGGGAGTATTGGGGTTGGGTTTTCAAGAGGGTAGGCTAGACAGTGGTGCTTGCTCCACCATGTCTACTCCACAGAAGTCTCCCTGTAAGGGAACGACGCCAGCTTCAGTCGGATTTGGCAAACAGTTTAGTCCTAGCGTTCCTTGTGCTATCCATTTCCAACCAGGTATGGATGTGAATTTGTTTTTGGTTACTAAACAATGTAGTATGCCTGAAATAGAGGTACCAGCATCCCACCCAGAAGGTACAACAAGGGTACGATTGGAGGTGGAAGGTGGAAGAGTTGGGGAAGGGTGCCTTGAAGGGAAGAGTGGGGAGGTAGATAAAATTTGGGGACTGATTTGTACAGAGTTTGAGAATCTCAAACAAAAGGAAGGATATGTGGACGGGCTCAGTGAAATGGTGATGGATAGGGGAAAGGAAGGGGTTGATTATGATAAAGGAGGACTTCAGACTTCAGTTTTGCAAGCTATTGGTGAGGGAGGTCAGGCCGAAGAGAGGGCTGAAAGGAAAGGACAGGTGAAAACTTATAATAAAAAGAGTGAGTCAAAAAGGAATAAGGAAAAGAAGAAACGTTCTGAAGTGGAAAGATTAATTGGTGACATCGAAGGGAATATAGAGTTTAGTGGTAGAGGTGATAGGAGAAAGGGTAWGAAGTAAGGAGTGGTGGTTTATGACTGAGGGTGTTTGCATGATTTGTGACTATGAGAATAGTTAGTTGGAATGTTAGGGGATTAGGGAGTGCAAGGAAAAGGAGGGTGATAAAGGATTTACTTAGAAAGGAAAGACTTGACATTGTTATGTTACAAGAAACAAAGTTGTTGGAGTTGGACAGAAGATGGGTGAGGAGTGTGTGGAGGTCAAGAAGAGTAAGGTGGACCTCAGCCTCGGGAGGGATTGTCACATTATGGAAGGAGGATGTAGTAGAAGCAGTGGAGGAGTTAATAGGGAGGTTCTCAGTTTCCATCAAATTCAAGAATGTAGAGGATGACTTCACTTGGGTGTTAACCAATATCTATGGTCCCAATAACTATAGAGAAAGGAATGACATGTGGGAGGAGTAGTATGCAATTCGGGGTCTATGGGAAGGTCCATGGTGTTTGGGACGAGACTTCAATGTAATACGTTTTTCTGAAGAAACTAATAACTCCCAACAAACCATCACAACTAGCATGAGAAAGTTTAATAGCTTTATTGCTGATTGTGAGTTAAAGGAGATTCCGTTGTTACAAGCTAGATTTACTTGGTCTAACCTACAGGAAACTCCCTTGTGCTCGAAGTTGGACAGGTTTATTTTTATTGTTGATTGGGAAAACTATTGGGGAAACTTGGTGTCTAAAGCTTTGCCTAGGGTAACCTCGGATCACTATCCTATAAGAATAGGTGGGGAAGATTTTACAACTGAACCTAGGCCGTTTAGGTTTGAGAACATGTGGCTAACCCACCCGGACTTTGTGAACAAAGTTAAATTATGGTGGAATGAGGAATTGAGGGGGATAAAATGGAAAGGGGTAAGATTTCATAAGAAACTGCAGAGGCTGAGATCCAAAATAAAASAATGGWATAGGGAKCACTTTGGAAGAATTGAGGAGCAAAAAGTGAATCTAATCTCTAGGATAAAAGAGCTGGATGAAAGAGAAGCTCAAGCTAGATTGGAGGAGGGTGACAGAGACATGAGGAAACAATTAAAGAAGGATTTAGAGGAGGTCTTATTTGAGAGAAGAAATAAGTTGGAGGCAGAAATCCAGGCACAAGGGGATCAAGGAAGGTGATGGAAATACAAAGTTTTTTCATGATGTGGCAAATGGGAGGAGGAGGAAGAACTTTGTGTCTAAGCTAGAGGTAGGGGGGTTTTCACTAATCAGGAAGATATTGCTAGGAAGTTTGTGGATCACTTTAAATCGATTTATAGAAGACCCTTGGGTGAGAGGTTGGAATTGGAAGGGATAGATTGGCCAAGTYTGGATGAAGATCAAGYTAGGTGGCTRGAAAGAATCTTTGAGGAAGAAGAGATTARGAAGGCAGTGTTCTTAATGGATAGATCCAAAGCTCTAGGCCCAGATGGTTTTAAAATAGCTTTTTACCAAGATTGTTGGGATGTGATAAAAAATGATCTTTG